TTAGTCACTTCGTGTGTGGTGATTTGTTACGCAGTACTAGGAAACAAATGTCTCCTAGCTCTGCCATGTATTAGCCCAGAGACCCCGGGCCAGTCACCTGCCCTCTCTGAGCCTCACTTCTCTCCTCGGGAAAATAGAGGTAGCATGCGAAGAACTCAGCATGGTAGCAGGTACTCAGCAGGCCCTGGATGGACGGGCTGTGGTCCTGTTTGCAGTCACCATCACCGTCCCTGTCTCTGCTGACCTTCTATCCACAGATGTAAGTACAGTCTGGACATTTTCTTTGTTGTCTAGACATTTTTTGGGTAGAAAAGATAGGGAACTGTTGACAGGCCTCCAGCTCTGCTCCAGCCTGGGGCAATTTGCCTCCCTGAGGACACTCGGCACGCCTAGAGACCTGGGGGTGCTCTGGCAGCTCGTGGGCAGAGGTGGGGGATCCTGCCTTTCCCAGGGTAGTCCCCACAGCACAGAATTACGAAATGATGGGGAGCCTGAGTGGCTCAGTGGGTTAAAGCCTCTGCCTTCAGCTCAGGTCATGATCCCAGGGTCCTGGGATCGAGCCCCACATCGGGCTCTCTGCTCAGCAGGGAGCCTGCTTCCTCCTCTCTCCTCTCTCTCTGCCTACTTGTGATCTCTGTCTGTCAAATAAATAAATAAAATCTTAAAAAAAAAAAAAAAAGAATTCCATACAGGCTTCTTAAAAAAAAAAAAAAAATTACGAAATGTGTACGGGGCCGTGGCCCAGGAACTCTGCCACCCTCTGGAGGTTTGTCGTACCTCTTGGGCTCACAACGTCAACAAGGAGAAAGAGGGGTGAACACAGTCCTGGCCCAGCAGGGCTGTGGACCCCCAGAGCATCTCCAGGAATATTCCTTACCTCCTGGGAGGTTTGGCTGCCATGAGCAGTCTCAAAGTGGAAGGTCCGAGTTTGAGCCTCAGCTCCTGCCCTCTCTTGCTGTGAGACTTTGGGCAAGTCACTTAACCTCTCTGAGCCTGTTGTCTGTCAGCAAAGTGGCCATAAAACAACCTGCCTTGTGTTAAGAGCAACCGTGTGGAAGCCCAGTGCCTAGCGCTGTGTCGGCATCTCCTTAAACTGTCGTTCACTCCCCATCCTGACTAGCGTGTCAAGGGAGAATTCTTTCCCTCCAACCTATTCCCTTAGGGGCATCAACTTTTTAAGCTTTTAACCTTTCTCCCCCTTGGGGTCAGTGGGACACATGGAGGCTTACATTTGAGGACTCTTGGGAGCTGGCCGTTGGCTCGCAAGGGCGAGACCCAGGGGCGAATGGAAGCCGCAGGTCACATTCCAGCTCTCGGTCAGTCTCTGCCACAACGCCCACAGGTCGTCTTCCTGCCGACTCCTGGCACGGCCTGTGCTGCCCTTTTGGCACCAGGCACAAATCTGCCTTGTGACTGCTTTCATCTGGGATTTCTATTTATATCTCTTGGTACAGGGAACTTATCAGGTTTGCGTCTTGGCTGGAAGCTCTTTGGGGGCACCTCTCGTTAGAATGTGGGCCCAAAAATCAGAAATAAAGGATGTTCAAGCCAGAATTTGACAGGGCAGGTCATTAAGACTTGATAGATGTGGTGGACCTGAAACCTGGGCTTCCGGATGCAAAGGCCCCTGCTTTTTCCAAAGGACTTCACTATGACATTGATCAGGCCCCTCAGTCATCAGTGCTGGGCTAGGCAGGGCTTGGGGGGCAGTGATCCCCCACTCAGTATTGACTGGAGGAAAGACTCTTTTTTTTTTTTTTAAAGATTTTTATTTATTTATTTGACAGACAGAGATCACAAGCAGACAGAGAGAGGAAGGGAAGTGGCTTCCAACTGAGCAGAGTGGTGGATGCGGGGCTCAATCCCAGGACCCTGGGATCATGACCTGAGCTGAAGGCAGAGGCTTTAACCCACTGAGCCACCCAGGCGCCCCTGGAGGAAAGAATCTTAAAGGAAACAATTCCAGGGGTGCCTGGGTGGCTCAGTCAATTAAGCATCCGCCTTCGGTTCAGGTCATAATCTGGGGTCCTGGAATCGAGCCCCACGTTGGGCTCCCTGTGAGAAGCCTGCTTCTCCCTCTGCCTCTGCCCCTGACCTCCCCCCCCCCCCCCCCACAACACTCACTTGCTCTCTCCCTCTGTCTCTCTCAAATTAAATCTTTTTTAAAAAAGAAAACAATTCCATTCCAATTATATATCTATGGCATGCTCTTGCCCTCTCCATCCAGCAAGCCCAGCGAGCCCCGCGAGCCCCATGTTCTACCAGTCCCATGAGGATTTTTGCCTTCCTGGCAGAGGTTTTACTATTCCTCAGTGGAAATGGAAGAGAAGGTTGAACCCTCCAGAAATTCTAGTGAATCCCTCTTCAAATCCCCTCCTTGGGACGTAGCTTCATGGTCTGATTCTCTGACCTCCCTGTTCATACAGAATTTGACCATATCAGCAAACACTTGACCAGGTAGAGAACTGGGAACTCAAGGTCCAAGGAGAGCAGGGAGAGCACAGACTGAGGACAGAGAAGAAAGGAGAAGAGGGGCTAGGAACTGACCTTGACCATTCACCCACCATCCACCATCCACCAGGCACCATGCTGGGCAATTATAGCTCCCTGATTGTCACAACCTTACAAGATAGCGCGTTATCCTTACAAATGAAAACACTGAAGCCTAAAAAGTGCCTCAGCTCATAGAGCTAGCTGGTCAGAGATGAGGTCAAGATCAAAACCCAGGTCTCCCTGACCCCAGAGCCCTCGCTGGGTCATGACCTCCTAGATGGCGTGCTCTGTCACAACACTGCCAGGAGGTCTCGAGATCCACCCAGGAGGAGCTGGACTTTCTCTCCTGAGGGCCCATACCAATGAAGTCAAGGCTAACAGGGGCCAGTGCAAAGTCTTACACTTAAGTTCAAAATGACATTTGCACAGGAGTGTAATGGAGACCTGGTTACTGGGCGGCAGCTGATCGTAATATTGTCCCATCATAACACGGCTGCTGTTGCCTTGTATTTCCAAAGCACTTTAAGGTTTAGAAAGCCCTTCCACTTACCGAACTCAGAGCTTTGATGGACCATAAACAAGCATGAGAGTAAGTCTGGAAAAGGTTTGGGAGTATACCAATAGGGTGTGTATGCTGCAACAGCCTGTAAGGGTAAAGAGCTGTTTGTTTGCATTAATCCAGTGTAATATCAGTAGACTTTGGGCTCAGCCACTGTGCTAAATGTATTACACGTTTGATCTCTGTTAATTCTCACAACAACCCATGTTGCACAGATCAGAAACCAAGAGGAGAAGAAAGTCCGACAAAGGTCACAGAGCTAGAATTCAGGTTTAGGTCTGAGAAGTATCAAGACAAACGTCCTTCTGGACATTTCACCCGCCGCCCCCCTACCCCGGGCATAGGAGTCCCATTTGGGGTGCTGTATTTAAGGGGGACGTTAACACACAGAGTAATGATCTCATGAAAGACACGATCATTGTAAAGATTGTTTGAAGGAGCTTACTTAGTATATTTGTCCTGGGGGAAAAATGATCAGAGAACATATCATTGCTGTTTTCATGGGCGTAAAGCTCCTTTCTTTAGAAATAGGTTGGGTTCCCAGGACGTGTACCAACCGTTTGTGGGTTAGTGTAAACGGGATAAACTGTAGCCGGCTGCTGGCGCCACCTACTGGTGGGAGGTAAAATTGATGGGCTGATTGGGTCCACCGTCGCTGTTCATCCGTGAAGTTTGGTTTCACCTTTCTTACACAGAAGTGCTCACATCTGGCGGGTTGTGCATAAGAGGCAGCACATGTACCTTTATGGCAAGAGAATTAGGACCAATGGGTGAAAATTATAAGGAAGGATATTTTGGTTTTGACGTGAAGTTTAGTTTTCTGAAAAAAACATCTCCAAAACTCTAGGGGCTGATTGGGAGTAGTGAGGTTCATGTCTGTGGGAGAAACCAATTCATGCTGAATCTCCCAAGGTTTTGGCAATGGGGAGAAATCAATCCTAGTGTTTTGGTGGGTCTGGGGTCTTTATGGGTTACCTACTCTGAGTTACAGTTGGCCGTTTGAGCGGGGGTCTGCCAGTGTTGGTAGCATCTTTGTTGTCTTATCCAGGGAGGAACTTTTAGGGTTCCAAGGGGCAGATACTTGGAAAGGGTGAGATCTGGGAATCTTTATCTTCCAGATACGGCTTGAACATTTGACCAAGGGATAGGCAGAGAGGAGTGACTCAGAGGGTAAATGGTCCTGACCTTCCATCACTTCCCAGTCTGACCTCCTACACAGGACCATTTGTAAACAACCCAGGGGAACAACAGTTCCTTGTAGATTCTGTAAATGCAATTAAGGCTGTGCTGAAGACAGAGGTTCAGAGTGTGGCTGAGAGCAGGGACCAGTCAGACAGGACCGGTCAGGGGTCTGGGGCAAAGCTGAGCCCCAGCCTGTGTGGGTTTTCTCATCAAAGCTTTGCGGATTCAGGGCCTGGGTGCCAGGCCATTTGTGTCTTGCACATTCCCCGGGAGGCGGTCCAGTGAGGATATGCAGAGAAGGGGCCAAAGGGTAGGACAGACCCTGGCACAAATCCTAGCATGACACCCCGTTAGCCTTGTGAGTCTAGGTTGATTACTTCTGTACTGTGAGCCTCAACTTTTTCATCTGTAAAAGGAGCAGTGATTCCACCTTCCTTACCCGAGAGGTATGAGGATTTAACGAGACCTACTTCATAGAGCACTGAGCACCATGTTGGCGCATAATTTATTATCATTATTATTTTTTATTATTAAATTAACCTCTGTTAGTGAAAACCATTCCCACTCTCCCTGCCCCCTCCTTGCTTTTCTGTGGCCATGGATCTGGTCACAGACACATTGGATGCTGAAAAGCCCTTGCTGGGCCTCACTTGGTTAACAGGAATGGCTGGGTCCCACACATGAAAACACCCACAGCCTTGGCCATCAATGTCCCACCGCCCTCCCTCCCACCTTCCCTGATGGGGCAGGAACAGAGATGTAATTGAGAGCCGTGGGGCCTGACATAAGGCAAGATATACTCTGAGATGACTCACTGTTCCCTCAGAAAGAATAGCCCGCCCGTCTGAAAGGAGGTCTGCACCCAGAACTAGGCCCCCTCGAGGTCACCTTGAAGGGTCCGCGGAGGAATCTGTGTCCCGGTGGCCTTGGGCAGCTGCGTTACTGGTCAGTGTGTGTGTGTGTGTGTGTGTGTGTGCGCGCGCACACGTGCATGTTTCCATAGTAACCTGTCAGGAGCCCCTCTAGACACACAGGTACGAGCAGCAGATTGGTGAGGTGGGGATCCTACAGGCTTTGAAGTTTGCAGGCCCAGGTACATAGGCCAGCTCTGCATCTTCCAGACTGTGTAAGCGGGGAGAGAGAGCTTTAGAGCCCCAAACCGTGGGGTCCTCCTCTGATCCAGGGGAGGGGAAACCCTATTTTACATGGCCTTTGCTAATTAAAGCGTGGATTAAAAAAGAAAATGCCTGGCCCAAGGTCTTGGCACGTAGTGGGCACTTGGGTGATGGCGTCTGTCATTTTTGTGTGTCAAAAGGACGCATGTCCAAAGGAGATGTGTCCCCAGGCAGGGTTTAGCCTTATCAGGGACGATGCCATGCCTCTCTCACTAAGTGACCCTCTCACTAAGTGATCAGTGGCTATTTGTCTCTCTTTTTCTGTTTTTAAAAGGAATTATAAGAAAGCAGTATTGGTGGGTCTTCTCAGATTGATAATGGTGTGGGTAGAAGCAGACGGTTTAGGCAAATGCATCATAAAACTCTTTACGATCGGATGGGGGAATGGTGGGCAGTGGAGGGCAGGTGCCTCTCCTTCTTGGGAGTAGCAGTGGGGGCAGGGGTTGGGGGAGACTTTCATTCCATATTCTCATATGGGTCCTAATTTATTTTTATAGAATGATTTTTTCCTTGTTTTGAGCTCCAGAGAGCCACCTGGCTCTGAGTTCAGCAAATATTTGCTATTATCCCCACCCCACCCCACCAAAATACTCAGAGCTGCCATTTATCGAGCACTGAAAGCACTTGTCATACTTAACCTTGAACCCTCAGCTCCCTTGGGAAAAGCCACCTCATTTTACAAATGAGCAAACCAAGCTAGGAGAAGTTCATCCACTTGCTTCAGTACTTCTCCTGGCAAAGGTGAGAGGAACCGGACAGTTTATCTAGGAGAAGTAGGAGGAGGATACGAAAAAGACCCCAAACAGCCTCTACCCTCAAGGACCCAACAGTGAACATGGGAGGTTAACTGCCAGACAGAGCAACCGAGACACATGCTGTGGTCATGCTTCTTTGTGGAGCTCTGCTGTGGGAGCAGAGGACAGAAGGCTGATTCTGGCTAGGGGATGGGGGAGCCTTCCCAGGCGTGGCTGGGCTCAGTCCTGAAGGATGTGTTCATTTTGGAGACGCAGCCACCAGGGGAACATGGCCAGTGGGCCTGTTGAAGGAGGTCAGGAGACAGGAAGCCCAGCGAGGAGGAAAGGTTGACCAGTACAAAGAGTCAGGCAAAGCTACACATGGCTCCTTGGGAGAGCCCAGGTCGTGGGAGTCCTGAGGATCTGGTCTTTGGGAGGAAGGGACAGACAAGAACTTTGGGTTTTTAAGTAGTGCCCCGTGGCTTAAAGGAGGGCAGAGAAAGTGAAGGCAGAGAGGGCCATTCTGAGGCTGAGGCCCCCATGGGGTGGGACAGGCCACAGCCACCAGAGGCCCCAGCCTGATGACCTGCCTCCAGTTCAGATGCGCTGACCCATTTCCATCAGGAGCTGGGGAAGTGGGGAGCTGTGGCCGGGAGGTGAGAACTCTCAGGAGATGTCCACTGTGGGAAGGGAGGTGGTTGGGCAGGGACGGAGCCTGGGCAGCAAGGCCCAGGAATGCCGGGGGAGGATGGAGTGGTCCCTTGTCAGGGCAGTTTGGCAGAGGTTGGTGTGAGGAGCAGAGAGACTAGAGAGGCTGGAAGCAGCCAGTGAAGGGTTTTCGCTGCCAGCTGTTCAAGTGTGGGCACTGGGAGACGATTGTTATTTTTTTTGAGCCTGAGAACGCCCTGTCTCTCTCTCACTAAAATGTGAGCATCTGGAGGCCTTTCACCAGTGTGTTCCCAGCTCCTAGCACAGTGGGCGTCACTTAGTAGGTGCTCAGTTAGTATTTCTTTAGTAAATATGTAGAACCACAATCTGTATATGCGGATGTGGTAAACATTTTAAAACTTGGATAAGAAGAATACACACTAATGGTCAGGTCGTGGTTACTCGGGAGGAAGGAAATGAGGTAGGAGTAGAAAAAGGATTTCAGCGGAGTCTCGCTTTTCTTCCTTAATAAAGAAGAACTGAAGAGAGTATGATCGTGAACATTTGTTCAGTCTGAGTGCTGGGTACTTGCGCCCCTATGACATTATTATTTATAATTTTAAAATATTTAAGAAGAAAATGAATTGGGCGACTGGGTGGCTCAGTCGGGTGAGCATCTGCCTTCACATCAGGCCATGATCCCAGGGTCCTAGGATCGAGCCCCATGTCGGGCTCCCTGCTCGGGGCGGGGGTGGGGAGGGGGGAGTCTGCTTTCCCTCTCTCTCTCTCTACCCCTCCCCCTGCTTGTGCACGCTCTCTCTCTCAAATAAATATATAAAATCTTTTTCAAAAAATGAAAAAAAGCAAATTGGTGAACAAATATTGTGTTAGGTGTAAAGAATATCTCTTCTCCAGAAGATGGAGTGACCGCCATGAAGCCCATGGCTTCTTAGCGTGACAAATAGGCCTGGATAATTCTTTCCTTGGTGGCGATCCTTCACAGGTCTCCAGACTATCAGCAGCTACAGTGAAGTAGGAAACCCTCGTTCGTGTCCCTCCTCTTCTCGATGCCTGTCATTGAGAGCACGTGTGGATACTACCATAGGCTCAGAATACACTTCTCGGGAGGATCTCGATACTCGTTCCTGGGGGCGTGACGTTGCATGAATGGCGTCTCTCCTGGCTCACTCCTTAAGTGTAAGATCTCCGGCTTGTGAATTTGGATTCCTGCCGCCATCAGGGAAAGAAGCTATACTGTGCCCTCAGAGAGTCTGTTTGGGTCCAAGCTCTGTGTCTTCCTTGCTGTGTGACTTTTGTCCCTTCACTCAACCACTCTGAGCCTCAGTTTGCTCAGCAGCAAAAGGTGACGATTGAGAAGATGATTAACGAGAGAGCTGATACAGGTGTGAAGCCTGTGACAGGGCCCGGTACCTGGCGGGCGCTCAGCATACATGGCCTGTCTTCCCACTGAGGGCTGTGTGCAACCTGGCCTTTGTTGTCCTGCCATCCCAAGCCAGGTCTGTCCCTCAAGGCCCATGCAAATTTAGCTTTTCCTTGAAACCATTCTTCATAGCCAGGGATGGCTCATGTCCCTGACTGCTTGGTAGCATAGTTAAATTTTCCATCTGCTTGCTTATTGGTTTATTTATGTTGGCCTCCCTAGATTGCAAAGCTTCTGAAAGCAGGAGCATCGTTTCAGGCATCGTTATGAGATGCTGACCACTTCACCCCGTGTCCTGGGTTAAATGCAAACTTGGGGCTCCAAGAAGCCTTGGGGACTTCACTTTCATCAGGAAAATGACAATCATAGCCTCCCTCACACAGTTTCTAGAAGATAACTCTTTAGACATTCTGGGTACAACCTCATTAGGAAAAATTTAATAAATATTGTTGAATTAATTTGAACTGCCATGAACGATTAAGTTCTTTACAAATGTCAGACATTATTTTTAATTCTCCACAGTAGACAGTGAAAGGCCTTGTATTTACTTGCTGCTAAGAAAAACCGCCTGCTTGACTCTTCTCTGGTCATCCAGGTGAGGACCAAAGGAGGCATCACACAAGCATTGTAAAGCTCACCCTAGTGTTAAATGAAATTTTATCTTTGTTCTTCCCAGGATCGAGATGACCACAGCCACCCCTTTGGGGGGTACTACCTTCTTCTCCTTGAACGTGACCACCAGAGAAGAAGACTTTCTGTACAAGAGTAAGGTCAACTTGGCTTGGCAGCCAGGGGAGGGATGGTGGGATGAGGACTGTGGTCAGCTCCTGGTGTTGAGGTCAAGAGTGTGGGTTCTGGAGATAGACTGCCTGGGTCCCAGTGGCACTTCTGCCGTATGCCCACCATGACCGTGAGCATGTGACCTCATAGCTTTGTGTCTGTTTCCTCGTCTGTAAGATGGGGATATGAATGAAGCTACTCTTAGCATCACACACATGAACAGTGTGAAGACTAAACCAGATGATCCATGTAAGGAGCTTAGAATAGCCTCGAGTCACACAAACTACCTAATGAATAGTATTGTGACCATTACTGCTGTGACTGCTACTGTCATCAGGGAGTTTGGGGGTCTGGAGGGCAACAGACATTGACTCTCCTATAAGAGGTCCCTCAATGAGTCACCTTAAAATGTAACTACTTTCATACTCTTCATACTGTTTTTACAAGGCAAAACCCATCGATTGACAAAGGAGTAAATGAGTGGAGGCAGGAGTAGTCCCGGGGAGACATTTGGCAGGAACAAGGGATGCCCAGAAGGAAAAACTTAACAACCACTCTCCACAATACCAGTTAATCATAGGAGGGGAAGTTGGGACTATTTCCGTCTTTTCTGTTGGTCTGGCACGTACCCCCCGCACGTGGAACAGGCTTCCCAACACACGTGGAGTGTCTCCCCAGTGATGACAGCTCCCGACCGTGGTCCTGGCAGGAAACTGATTCCTGGCAGGATGGGGGTCTTCCACGGAGACCCAGAAAGGGTCAGTCTTGGAACAGGGTCCCGCGTGTCTGCCTGCTCCTTGCCAGGTGGGGACACCTACAGAGAGAGGCCTGTCGACGTAGCTCGAAACAGTTCTGAAAGGAAATGCAGGGTAGATCGAATCTCCAGCAGTAAGATGGGAATGATTCTGCTCTTAACGAAAAGCAGTGGTTCTCAACTAGATGATTCTGCCCCCTAGATGAGATGGCCAGAGTTCAAAAATAAGATACAGAACACCCGGTTACATTTGAATTGGAGAGTAACAGTATTTGTGCACTATAAGGACATGCCATGCAATAGGTGAGACATCACAAAAATTACTCATTATTTATCAGAAATTCTAATTTAAATAAGTATCTGGTACTTTATCTGGCCACTTTACTATCAGGGGACATTTGACAACGTTTGGACACTTTTGCTCGTCACAGCTGGTGGGGGAGGAAGAAGAAGTATTAATGACATTAGTGAGTGGAGGCCGGAGAGAATATTGTACAGGGCACGGGAGGATCCCCTCAGCAAGGGGTTATGCAGGCGACGTTGAAAAACCATGGATTAAAGTATCATCACAGAACTCACCAGAAAAGAGACAAAAAATTACTCCATAACGGAATCCCCACCCCACTCCTTTTCTTTCTTTCCAGTCTTTCTTCCTGTGAATATTTGGACATAGTATTGTTTTTTGTTTTTATTTAGTAAACCTTTTCGTAAGAGCATTACATACCTTTAATAAAAAACAAAAAAGCACAAATCCTAAGTGCACAGCTGGGTGAATTTTCACAAAATGAACACAGTTGGGTCACCAGCCTGCAGATCAAGAAGAGGACCATCCATCACCAGGATCCCAGGCATCCCAGCGCCCCTTGCCACCCTGTCCCCACCTGGTGAAGGGAACCCACTATTCTGACTTCGCCCACTGGCCATTAGTTCTACCTGGTTTCGAGCTTTATGGAAATGGAAGTATACCGTACACACCCTTTTATTTCTGGCTTCTTTTACTCGTCATTGTGTTTTTATGCACATATTTTAGTGGTTGCAACATAATGTGTATATGTGGGTGTGTACAAAATACCATATACTCTTCTCCACATGTCATTCAGATTATAGTATAATATATCATGAGCTAGGCATGCCATACCTTATTGAATCATTCCCATATTTAGAATATAAATGATGTAATTAGCATACTGATTCATGCAGCTTTTTCTGTATATAGGATTCTTCCCTAAGATAAACTCCCCAGAATCAAATAGATTGGCTTAAAATGTGCCCCGCCATGGGTGGGTTTTTTTTGGTTTTTTTTTTGTATTTTCAGTTTCAGTTCACACAGGGATGTTGATTCTGAACGTGAAATGAGAGGTGGCCATGGGAACTGGTTGCTGATACTGAAATTAGATGCTATTAAGCCACAAGGACATTCATTAGAGCCTTGTTTTTCGTGGTATAAAATTGAAAACAACATAATTATCCTCAGTATGGCATTGGTAAACAAATTATGGCACATCCAAACAATGGAGGTCTACACAGCCATCAAAATCATGAAAAACAATATAATTACATGAAAGATGATTAGGATATGATTGTAAAACTGTGTACGGAACATGGTTCCATTTTTATCAAGTGCTATTTTTCCACTTTTATTTCCTTGAGGTGGGTTTTCAGAGAGGATTAATCAATTACTCAAAAAATGTTGGATAGGTATTTAATATGTGTACCTGCATATACGTGATGGCATTGGTGCGTGTATGCATGTGTAGGTGATCAGTGGTTCCTGGGGCAATGAGTTCCCTTTTTGGCTTGTATTTTTAGTTTCAAAATTAACTACAGAAATAATGCTTTTGTATTATCAAAAAGAGGGAAGGGTGTTTTGCTTGCCTGTTTCACAAAGGAAGTTGGATGCTATGTTAGGACTGACGACAACAGGATGGCCTGAGATGGGATTTTGGCAGAGGAAGCTCCCTGGGGGGAGGGGTGCACTGCTGCTCTGGGTATGTCTCTGCCCTGGGGTCAGTAGTCGGGTGCCAGGACAGCACATTCTCTCTCTGCCTGATCCAGTGAGGATGTGAGGTGCCGGGTGGAGGTCCCACTCTTAGTCTCTGCATGCTTCCCTTTTTTCAGGTTGCACATTTGCCATTTCCACGTTTCTCCTCTTAGGTTCTGGAGCCATTGTTGCTGCCATTGTGGTAGTTGTCATCATCATCTTCACTGTGGTTCTGATCCTGCTGAAGATGTACAACAGGTATGCGATGCCCTGGGCTCTGATGGTCTTGTCCCTTCCGTGATGTCAGAGTGAATGTGAGCTAACGCTTGTGGGTGCCAGCTGTGTGCCACGCAGTACCCATGAGTCCTTCGTCAAATGCTCTAACCCTTTGTGGGCCCTTTTTTGACATCTGTTGTCCTGTAGGAACTTCATGGTAACCAAATATTTTGGTACCTGCAGAAATATTTGTTAAATATAATAGTCATCGTGACAATGCTAATGGCCTTGAGCACTGCAGTAAGGTAACTTACAGTAATAGAATAATATGATTCAGTCTTTTTCTCTCAGAGAGCCCTCTGCTAGGTTGTGTTGAGCAGACCACGTATTTAAGGTGACAAATACTGGAATGCCTGTACCCCCAGCTCCACTTTCTGGGACCCAATAGGAGGAAAGAACATCACGTGATTGCCCAACGACTAAATGTTGTGTAATCACCTTTAAGTCCCAGTTTGGCTAGAAGGTTATTTTTCCCAGGCAAGAAATCAAAATAGACTATAAACACAACCACATCATAGAAGACTTGGAAGCCATTAAAAAAAAAAAAAGATACTGTAGAGTGTGTTTATTGATGAGGAAAGCTGTTTAAAATATATTGGCAAAGTTTACAAAGATAATATGTACGTTATAGTTATACATGTGGGTTACACACACAAAACCAAGGAGATTTCAAAATCTGCAGGGCCAGGTGTTAATATCCAGTGTGTCCTCATGATGGGATTGTTGGTTGGCTGGTTTTTGCAGGGGAGGGGGTACACATCTTTATTTTGAGGAGGTGCCAACATGCATTGTATAATGTTATTTATAAAATATATGTTTTATATTATATATTATATGTGTATAAAATGTATATATTATGTATGCATATATGGTATACATGTATTGATCTCTTACGATGTGCGAGGCATGATTCTAAGCTCCCTGTATGTATTAACTCATTGGATCCTCACTGCAACCCTACCAGGTGAGTAATTCTATGTCCCCCAATTTTGTAAATGTGAAACACGCACTGGGAAATGAGCTAACAAGCCGAAGTTTACTCAGCCTCACTGGCAGAGTTGGGATTTTTTTTTAAAGATTTTATTTATTTATTCGACAGAGAGAGATCACAAGTAGGCAGAGAGGCAGGCAGAGAGAGAGAGGAGGAAGCAGGCTCCCCGCCAAGGAGAGAGCCCGATGCGGGGCTTGATCCCAGGACCCTGGGATCATGACCTGAGCTGAAGGCAGAGGCCTTAACTCACTGAGCCACCCAGGTGCCCCTGGGATTTTGTTTTCTAAGATTTTATTTATTTATTTATTTATTTGAGAGAGAGAGAGAGAATGAGAGAGCATGAGAGGGGGAAGAGTCAGAGGGAGAAGCAGACTCCCTGCTGACCTGGGTGCCAGATGTGGGACTCGATCCCAGGACTCCAGGATCATGATCTGAGCCAAAGGCAGCTGCTTAGCCAACTGAGCCCCCCAGATGCCCCAGAGTTGGGATTTTAAACCCAGTACATGTGGTTTCAAAGAAAATACTCCCACCGCTATATGTAATAATAGTAATAACAATACTTAATAAGTTATTTTTAAAAAATTTTGAGGGTATTACAGTTTGGATCCATCGCAGACCAGGAAGTGGCATCCAACCACAGTGTCTGCCTTTCATTCCTGGCCATCACTGCTGGAGCTCTGAGCCCCTTTCCTGGTTGTAATTTGGGGAGAGATCTACCCACCCCACCCTGTTTACAATGATGCTGGGGCTGCAACTCAGAGACTGGGGCTCAGTCTTTGGTCTCTCAAAGGCAGGCAAGTCATTTAACCTCCCTGAGCCTTGATCGTGTCATCTTTAAAATGGAAGCCTTCCCAAGTGGGAGAGCTGAGTATCGGTTACGTGGAGCATGCCTTTGTTTTGAGACGTATTTAGGGGCGATGTGGCATGACATCTGCAACGGACTCAAATAGTTCAGGATTTTTAAAAACTCTCTTGTGTATATATGTGTGTCCACATGCGTAAATGAACCGAGAGAGACAAAGAGGCAAATGTGGCAAACTGCTGGTAATCAGTGAATTGTTCCATGAAGGGTACTCAGGTATGAATTATACTATTTGTGCAACTTTCCTGAGCATTTGAAATTAAAAAAAAAAAAAAAAGTTAGGTTGTTAGGTCATCTTATTAGGTCAACAAGATGAAATTTCATGTAGACGTTTGAATTAATGATTGCTGTAGTCATTGAATTTTCTGACATACGAAATGAAAGATTGGATATACATTTTAAGTCCATTCTCTTCTCAATTATGCAAAAAGTTCTTAAATATTTCTAGCAATCGACTTGGCAAATGTAATGAAACTGCAAAATTTAACTCACACCACAACTTGGAGTAGAAAAAAAAATCATAGTATTTTCATTTTGTCTTTAATAATAGTCTTAATATAGGACACTTTACTCATTCTTTAACAGGAGAAAAAGCATTTTCAATATCTAATCTAAGTTACGCACAAAAATGGAAGGATCAGGCTAGCTGATGTCTAAGGTCCCTTCCGGTTAGTTGTACAATTCTGTGGTTGGCAATCAAGCAATGTGATTTAATGATGATCTACGTTAAGGTCCTTGCCAGAATCAAAATCACAGGGTATGGGAGGTGAAAGACTCAAGCATGCATACGTATCTCCTTCCAGGAAGATGAGGACCAGGCGGGAGCTGGAGCCCAAGGGGCCCAAGCCAGCCTCCCCATCTGCCTTGGGCTCAAACAACAACAGCAGCCAACACCCTCCTACTGTGACCTTCAGTCCCGTTGACGTCCACGTGGAGACTCGATGACCCCACCACCACCACCTTGGTGCTATCTTGGCCACCGTCCAAAGAGCCTTCTCCATTCAAGACCCAGAAGCACATTTCTCCTCCGGCAGCTTCACTGAGTTCCTTCCCGTTCCGGTTGGGTCGACAAGGGGCATCTCACGCAAGTCCAAACGCTCAAGCAGCCCCAAACCCCTCCCTGCCCCACCCTAGCTGCTCCACCTCCCTGCTGCCACCCTTTCAGAAAGCTGTGGAACATCCTTTTGTGCTCTGATGAGGAATGGCTATGCTGGGAATCCACTGCAGTGGGTGTAGCTGTCTTCCCCACCGTTGCTAGACAGCCCACCCAGGGGGTCTTCTGGTCTAGAGTCAGGGGTCCAAGCATGCTCCCTAGTATATTACCAAAGGGTCTGCTCTTGGGGTCCAGTCATAATAAGTGCTGTAGCCACAGCTTTGCAGAGCAAAATATTCCATGCCGTTCATCAGGCACAGGGGAACTAACTTGGGCTAACTAACCAAAAAACTAACTTGTTAATCTATAACTTGCTCTAGTACTAGATGCCTGCTAGCTAGCTCATGACAACCAGTTAGCCGAATTCTCCATCTTTAAGAAAAGTTATGGGAAAGACAGTTCTTCTTGAAAGTTTTCTACTTAATCGTAGAGACTCAGAGAAGGAATAGGGTGACCTTGAGGAAAGATGGCCTCTAGGCCAAAAGCTTAGTATAGTGTCTGTGGGCCTGAATGAGCCAGAAGCAGGTCAGAGCCTCTCCTCTCCCTTTGGGGCTGGATTAAGCCTGACTCAGTCTCATTTCTTGGCTTCCCTCTGTTTGGATTCTGAGCAATCCTCTCTCTCTCCGGTCATACCTTTCCTCCAACAACCAGTATTAAAGACTGATAAGATTACAACCCTGTCTATGTGACCCCTATGTCCGTCCCAGTCACCTTCAAAGCCCTAAATTCGAAAAGTGTTTCTCTGTACAGAGCTGATCTCTTTGACTCTTAGCCCAGAGAACAATCTATTGAGAGGGAAAAGCATTTTGAAATTAAGGCTTGCCTTCCAAACTCTACTTCCTGGTTGTGTGGCCTTGAAAGAGTGACATGAGCGCTCCATATTGGGTTTGCTAACCATAAGACTCACAGACTGACTTTAATTAGTCAAGGACTTGGTAGAGCCACTCAGGTGGTCCCTGGCACTCAGCAGACACTTAATAAATGAGAGCCGGCATTATTGTTACAGTATTTCTTCAATTGTAAGACATATTTGTTCACACGCTAATGATTCTGAAATCAGAATATGTCTTTAAATTGGGTCCATTAATGTAGTATATTTTTCTCTCTCCAAAAGCTGTTTTTTTATTCAGTTGTGCACCATACAATTGAAGGCATCTTGGAAGCGAGGTAATAAATATTGAATCTGTTGCAGAAAGTGACACCATCTGACCTTTAACCTTAAATTCTGGGGGTCTCTTCCTCTTAGAGTCAAATATCTCTCCTGAGGGGAAACTGAGGGTCAGGAATGTATGAAGGCTGACCCAGGGTCACGGAGTCACGTCATCCCACTATAAAAATGCTCGCTTGGATGTGTCCGGATGTGTCTGGCAAATTCTTCCTCCCCAAACATTTTTCCTCCCGACTGTGTTTAAATATCCACCAAGTACCAGATACTTGGCAAGATGCTTTCCCATAAATTATCCCATTGGATTTATTTTCTCCCAATAACCCTGGGAGGAATTATTTGTTCTGTTTGCAGGTGAGAATTGCAGACTCCAAGAGAAAAAGGTACTTGTCCCCAGTCAGACAACTAGTTAAGTTGCAAAGATAAGACGCAGACCTACCTCTTTGATTCCAAAGTCTCTCTCTGTTGCACCACTTTCTTCCCTACATCCTGGCTCAAAGAACATGAATTCTTTTATGGGCCGAACAGGAGGAGGACAGGCTTGTCCATGTGTCTGAGCAGAGGTCAGGAGTCTGGCCTCCAAACTGACACTAGGAGCAAAGCCACTTTGGTAGCCTCCTTTGGGCTCCCAGGATTGGAGCCAAAGGACCCCTTTCTGAGCCCATCAAAGCTCTTAGGATTCCTGTTTCATATCCCATAACCCTTATACTCAAGGAGCAAGGGATGGAATGCCATCCAACCAGGGAAAGGCATTTCCTAAAGGACTCAAACCGCAAATAGATACTTTCCCCCAAAAGTGTTCTGCTTTAAAAAAAAATTTGTTTGTTTGTTTGTTTGTTTGGAATGTTCCAGACCTAAAAGCAAACTCTTCTGCCCATACTGGACTCTTCCTGGAATTACTAGAGGAATCATCCCTTGTTATATGTTCTTTTGCTAAATGAAAGCTTGGAAGTGGTGGAGGGGGGAGAGGCTGAAAGGTAAGGGGAGGCCAAGAAAGGGGTTTTAATATTTTGCTTTTAACTAATGAAGATAACTCAATAAGCATCCTTTAAGGGTTCCTATGTGCAAGTTGAGGTGCTACTAAACACATTGTTCCAGTCCCCACTCTCAAGGAGTCTGCCTCCGGTCTCCTGGGACAGGGAGCTTGCAACACAGTGGAGTGTTTCATTTCTGTCAGGTGCCTTTCCTAACTGATGCCACCTTATTTGGCCGCTGAATCAATAAAAGATATTAAACATCTAAAGAAAAATGTCTAAAAATAAAGAGACTTAAATCAAACATTTGTTGAGTTGACGTCAGTCTATGTTAGAGTTAATGAATACCTCTTCTAAGAATTTCCTTTCTCTAACCATGTAAATAGGGTCCTGTGGGAAAGCCTGAGCGGTTGCAAATTGTACTCTTCCTGCTAACAGGTGATGGGGAAGCTGGGCTGCCAGCAACCGGCCTTTCCATGAGTGAGAAAACTTGTTAGCTTGATTAATTAATTAATTATTAGTTAGTTAATAATAGCTTGATTGTTACAAAAGGAATCCCATTTAGAGCCTGCTGTTAAACACCAGATGCGCTGATACGTTGAGGTTTAGGGACCCCTGGGAGTGAAGTAGACCTTAGAATGCAACCCAAGTCATCAATGAAGGAGTTTACAGTTAACCGAGCTTCTGGTGTGTTCTAGGTACATGATGGGTCTTGGATACCTACCAGCTCCTCTAACCGTTACAACCCCCATGTGTAGGAACCATTGCTATTTTTACTCTGGGGACACAGGAACGGGAAGGTCACATGTCCTTAGGTGATGCAATGGACAGGTGGCATTCTTGTGGTGACCATTTCTTGTGTTTGGGGAGTCTGCTACTTTAAGAAGCAAGACCACCTCCTGCTGTCAATGCTGAAAAGGACCGTCATCTTCCTGGAGTCCCTTGCTGCTAGGGTGAGGGCCAGGGACAGAGGCCCTGCTGATCAGGTGCCCCCACAGTGGACTTTGAAGCCAGAAGTTGGTAACATCAAGGGACAGGGACCATGCAAAATACGCTCTGGTGGCAGGTAGGTTGGCTTGCTGCCTTTCAAAAGTTAGCAACAGCAGCGGCTTGAACAGCATGACGGGCCCATTCTTGAGTCCAGCCCTGTAGCCGCGGAGTTGGCTATGTGAGCTTAGTTTGACAGGAACAGCCGTGGTGTCTACCAAATGGGCTCTTTAGTGTGATTTTAGGCCCCATACCTGACAGCATACCACTGAGACCAGTTTTAGCCTTCTGGAAATTCCAGCAACTACCTTGTTCCATTTTCTGCTTCAACCAGCAGTCACTTCCTGCTGCTAGTGTGGCTGCTAGTGTGGGGGCAGGGGACAGCCTGGCTCACGGCCACCCCCCTTGGAAGTGGCTACACCAGAACCCAAGTCTCTGAAGCTCTTGCTCTTACCCGTGCTTCCAGTGGGCGCTAAGTGATCAAGGGATCCACGATGTGCTATGGAGTTGTGGAGAAGGTAGAGTTGCCTCTAATGACATGTATCTCAGAGACTTTGTTAAGGAGGAAGTGTTGGGGTTTTTTTTTGAAAGATTTTGTTTATTTATTTGACAGAGATCACAAGTAGGCAGAAGCAGGGAGAGAGAGAGGGGGAAGCAGACTCCCCGCTCAGCAGAGAGCCCGATGCAGGGCTTGAGCCCAGGACCCTAAGACCATGACCCAAGCCAAAGCCAGAAGCTTAACCCACTGAGCCACCCAGGCACCCCTAGAAGGAAGTATTTCAAAAAAGGACCTGGAAGAATGGAGAGGATTTCTTTTTTTAAGTAAAGATTTTTTTTTTTTATTATTGAAATACAACACACACACACATACACACATACACACACGTATGTGTGCAGCTCGCAAGATGTTCACAAACCGAGCTCACTTGTGTAACCAGCATCCAGGAAGCTCCCATCTTCTGCCTACCTGCCTCATGTCCCACAAAAGTTAACCAGCATCCTGACTGCTGCCCTCCTAGAACAATTTTGTCCGAACGTAGAATCACAGCGTAAACTTTTGTTTCTGGCTTCATTCGCACAACAGGGCATTTGTAACATTTGTTCATAGTGTCACATGGAGCTGAAGGTCGTTGGCGCTCACTGTGGTCACCTTCATTACGGGATGCATTTGGTTTATCCACTCTATTGTTCAGTGCACAGAAAAGTTGTTCCCAGTTTGGGTCTGTAACGAGGAGGGCTGCTAAAAACAGTTTTGGTCATGTACGTATTTCTGTGGGGAATATTTCCAGTTGAGTATGATACAGGGTAGAGACATATTGAGCCTTTGTCAGCAGTGCCAAACAGAGTTGCACCAACTTACGTTCCCTCTCCCAGTAGCGTAGGGGAGTTCCTCTTCCTCCACATCCCTTGCTAACACTAGGATATTTTCAGAATCCTGAATTTCAGTCATTCCTATGTGCCCACAGTGGTGTCTCATGATGGTTTTAATTGAATTCCCTGATGATTGGTGGAACTGGATCTCTTCTTGTTTTTTTGTTTTGTTTTGTTTTTGTTTTTTACAAAATATTTTATTTATTTATTTGAGAGAGAGAGAGAGAGAGAAAGAGCACTACCCAGGGGGTGGGAGGGCAAAAAGAGAGAAGCAGACTCCCCGCAGAGCAGGGAACACTACACAGGGCTCAATCCCAGGACCCTGAGATCACGACCTGAACTAAAGGCAGACGCTGAACCCACTGAGCCACCCGGGGGCGCACCCCCCAGCATTTTTGTATGTTTATTGGCCCTTTAGACCTCATCGTTCGTGAAATTACTTTTCCATTTGTCCCTTTTTTTGGTTT